AGAGCAAAGAATACAATGTTATGGCTACAGAGAAGGTGCATAAAGAACGAGATCAACATTTAATTTAAAATTTGAGAGGTCCATTCTGGAATCTAATGACTGTGAGGAAGAAGCTGTTCTTGAGTCTAATGGTGCAAGTGTTTAAGCTTTTATATCTTCTACCCCACGGAAGAGGATGGAAGATATTATAACTGGCATGGGAGAGGTGTATGATTATGTTGGTTGCATTCCCAAGGCAGTGAGAAGTATAGATGGAGTCAATGGATGGAAGCTTGGCTTGTGTCATGAATTGGGCTGTGTTCACAACTCTCTGTAGTTTCTTACAGTCCTGGGCAGAGCAGTTGCCATACCAAGCTGTGCATCTGGACAGAATGCTTTCTATGGTGCATCTATAAAAGTTGGTAAGTGTCTTTAAGGACATGCCGAATTTCCTTTCGCCTTCTGCGGAAGCAGAGGCATTGTTGTGCTTTCTTGACTGTAGCATCAATGTGGGTGGACCAGGACAGATTGTTGATGATTATCACACCTAGGAGCTTGATGCTCCCGACCATCTCCGTCTTTGGGTGGCATGTTGGCTCAGTGGTTAGCACTGCTGCCTTACAGCACCAGAGACCCAGGTTCGATTCCACCCTCTGGCGACTGTCTGTGTGGAGTTTGCACATTCTCCCTGTGTCTGCGTGGGTTTCCTCCCACAGTCCAAAAATGTGCAGGCTAGGTGGATTGGCCATGCTAAAGTGCCTGTAGTGTTCAGGGATGTGGAGATTAGGTGGCTTATAGGGGAAGGGTCTGGGTGGGATGCTCTGAAAGTCGATGTGGACTTGTTGGGCCGAAGGGCCTGTCCCCACACTGTAGGGATTCTATGATTCAGCTCCATTAATGTAGAAAGGGGCATGCCCTCTACCTCACTTCCTGAGGTCAATGACCAGCTCTTTCATTTTGCTGACGTTGAAGGAGAGATTGTTACCTTTACACCATCCCACCAAGCGCTCTATCTCTTTCCTGTATTCTGTCCTGTCACTGTTTGAGATCCAGCCTACAATGTTGGTGTTGCCAGCCAACTTATAGATGGAGTTAGGATGAAATTTGACCACACAGTCATGAGTGTATAGGGAGTGTAGCAAGGGGCTGAGTACACAGCCTTGTGAGGTGCTGGTGGGGGAGGTATTATTGTCTATTCTCATTGATTGCGGTCTGTGGGTCACAAAGTCGAGGATCCAGTTGCAGAGAGCGGAGCTCAGAGTTTGGTTGGAATTATAATGTTGAAGATGGAGTTACAGTCAATAAGTAGGAGCCTGATGTAGGAATCCTTGTCATCCAAATGTTCCAGGGATGAGTGTGGGACCAGGGAGACGGTGTCTGCCATGGACCTGTTGCAATGGCAGGCAAATTGGAAGAGATCAAGGCAGGCTTGGAGGCTAGAGTTGATGTGAGCCATGAGGAGACTTGACAGGATGGATGTTGAAAGGATCTTTTCCCTTGTGGGAGAGACCAGAACTAGGGGGCACAGTTTAGAAATCAGGGGTCTCCAATTTAAAATTGAGTTGGGGAGGATATTTTTCGCTTAGAGGGCTGAGAGTCTTTAAACCTCTCTTCCCTTGATCATTGAACAATTTTGAGGCAGAAGTAGATAGATTCTTGACTGACAAAGGAGTCATTATTTCATTGGGCTACATGGTAATGTTGAATTGAAGTCACATCAAATCAACCGAATGGCCTAATAGGTGCCATCTCGTAATGTCACTAGACTAATAATCTAGATGACTAGGCTAATGCTGTAGGGCCATGGGTTCAAATCCCACTATGGCAGCTGGTGGAACTTAAATTCAATCAATAAATCTGGACGATAAAACGTTAACATCATGATAACATGAAACGATTGGTGATAGTTGTAAAAAAAATCTGAATCACTATTGTCTCTTAGAGATGGAAATTGACTGTCCTTACCTGGTCTGGCCTATAGAGTCATAGAGATATACAGCACGAAAACAGACCCTTCAGTCCAATTTGTCCATGCCGACCAGATATTCTGTATAAATCTAGTCCCATTTGCCAGCTTTTGGCCCATAATCCTCTAAACCCTTCCTACCCATATACCCATCCAGATACCTTTTAAATGTTGTAATTGCACCAGCCATCACCACTTCCTCCGTCAGCTCATTCCATATATGCACCACCCTCTGCATGAAAAAGTTGCCTCTTAGGTCCCTTTTAAATCTTTCCCCTCTCACTTTAAACCTATGCCCTAGAGTTTTGGACACTCCCACCCTGGGGAAAAGACCTTGCCTATTTACCTTTTCCATGCCCCTCCTGATTTTATAAACTTCAATAACGTCACCCCTCAACAACCAACACTCCAAGGAAAATAGCCTACTCAGCCTTTCCCTAGAGCTCAAAACCTCCAACCCTGGCAACATCCTCATAAATCTTTTCTGAACCCTTTCAAGCTTCACAACATCCTTCCTATAGAAGGGAGACCAGAATTGCACACAATACTCCAAAAGTGGCCAAACCAAGTCCTGTACAACCACATGACCTCCCAACTCCTATACTCAACGCACTGACCAATAAAGACAAGTATACCAAATGCCTTCTGCACTGTGCTATCTACCTACAACTCCACTTTCAAAGAACTATGAACCTGCACTCAAAGGTCTCTTTGTTCAGCAACACCCCCTATGACCTTACCATTAAGCGTATAAGTCCCGCCCTGATTTGCCTTTCCAAAATGCACCACCACACGTTTATCTAAATTAAACTCCTTCTGCCACTCCTCAGCCCATTGGCCCATCTGATCAAGATCCCATTGTATTCTCAGATAATCTTCTTCGCTGACTGCTACACCTCCAATTTTGGTGTCATCTGCAAGCTTACTAACCATACCTCCTACGTTCCCATCCAAATCATTTATATAAATGACAAAAAGCAGTGGACCCAGTACTGATCCTTGTGGCACACCACTAAACGCAGGCCTCCCGTCTGAAAAGTAACCTTCCACCACCACTCTCTGTCTTTACCTTTGAAACGGTTCTGTATCCAAATAGCTAGTTCTCCCTGTATTCCATATGATCTAACCTTGCTAACCAGTCTACCATGAGGAATCTTATCAAACGCCTTATTGAAGTCAATGTAGATCACAACCACTGCTCTGCCCTTGTCAATCCTCTTCGTTACTTCTTCAAAAAACTCAGTAAAGTTAGTGAGACATGATTTCCCATGCACAAAACCCATGTAGACTACCCCCTAATCAGTCCTTGCCTTTCCAAACACATGTAAAACCTCAGGATTCCGTCCAACAACTTGCCTACCAGTAATGTCAGGCTCACTGGTCTATAGTTCCCTGGCTTCTCCTTATCATCTCTGGCACAATGTGAGCCAAACTTCAGTATTCTAGCACCTCACCTGAGGCTGTCAATGATACAAATATCTCAGCATGTGACATCTACCCAGAGCAGTGTGGTTGACTCTGAAATGGCATAGCAAGCCATTCAGTCCAAGGGCAATTAGGGAGAGACAACACATGCTGGCAATGCTAGGGATGCCCACACCCCATGAAAGAATAAAATATAAAGCAATTTTTTTTCTTTATTCATTCACGAGATGAGGGCATCGCTGACCAGGCAGCATTTATTGCCCATCCCTAATTGCCCAGAGGACAGTTAAGAGCCAACCACACTGCTGTGGATCTGGAGTCACATGTAGGCCAGACCAGGTTAGGATGGCAGTTTCCTTCCCTAAAGACATTAGTGAACCAGATGGGTTTTTCCCGACAATCAGCAATGGCTTCATGGTCATCATTAGACTGTTAATTCCAGATATTTTATTGAATTCAAATTCCATCATCTGCCACGGCAGGATTCGAACCGGGTCCCCAGAACATTATCTGGGTCTCTGGATTAACAGTCCAGCAATAATACCACTACATCATCGCCTTCCCAAATATTGCTCCGAACTCATATGTATGTTTACACAAGAATGGCAAAGTCAGATGTTGCTACAGAGTAAGAAATAGGTGTTCTTAGCAATAGCATGAATCCAGGTTTGGAGGCTCATAGAAAAATCAAATGTGACAAAAAGGATGTGAGAGACTAGTTTAATCTCAGTTACTAAGGAAAGGGATGGAGCTGGCAACGAGGGAGCTATGATTGGACTAGGGTCAGAAAACAATTGCTTCTGTCTTCCCCAGAAAGAAATTTCTGTCCATTCAGCATGGCAGATAAGCAGTCTGATAATTCAGCGACAGTGGTGGTGTCAAGAGTGATGATAGTGAGGTGGACCTTGGTATCAACTGTAAATATGAAAATTAATGCTGTGTGTTTGGATGATGTCACTGAGGGGCAGTGTGTAGATGAGAAATAGCAGGTGGAGGGGAGGATGCAGTTGAGTAAATGAGTAGATGCAGAAATGTTGTGGTGAACCATTCTTTGTTTTTAACCTTCAGGACATATTGCCCAGTTCTTGAGCCTTGAAGTTCCACCAATGAGGGAAAATTCTTGCTGTCTACTATCTTTATACCTCAATCTTGAACACTATCAAATCTCATTCCAATCTTCTCTTTCCACAGGGAGATAAATCTATCCACACACATCTACCCGCTCCAGAACCTTCACAATCTTTCTAAAGTTTGGAACCCAGTGATATATTTTCAGATACCTGAATACCAGCATGATACCTGTTGTGGTCATGTCCAGTGTAACTATCTGAGACATCTTGGGTAGATTAATTGCCATCATTACTTCTTATTGATGTTACCCCATATTACTGATATCAAGTGACGGAAGGATGCTCACACAATGTCTTTGGCAGAAGAGAGGCTTGGTCTAGATGAACAGAGTAGGTTTATGACATACTTCTTAATAGCAAGTTACAACGTATCTGAATTACATGACAGTCTCTTATCTGATCTAAGACCAGACTTAAAAATGTATATGTTATGCTAGCTGCATAGATTTAGCACTAGGACAGTAATAACCAAACTGTATGGTGATTTTGAAACTGGTTACCTCTTCCCAGGAAGAGTCCTGGATATCCTGATGGGTGGAGTTTATTCATGGTAAAAACTGAAAGTGCTGAAGAAACTTGGCAGGATCAGCAGCATCTGTGGAGATAAAAACAGAGTCCGTTATAAATTTTCTTTAGAGCTTTAGGGGCTGCAAATGTGATGGGTTATGTGCGGGAGGAAAGTAGCAAGTGAAACGTAAATGCGCCCCAGAGTAAAAGTCAAAGAGCATGCTAATAGTAATGGAGAAAAGATATAGATGGGAAGTAGGTATTAATGGTAGTTGTTAATAGTAGAAAAAAGGTCAGCTCTACTGAAAGCAAACCCTTACAGACAAGACACTGTGGTAATGAAAACAAAGGACCAAGTTCATGGTCTGAAGTTGTCCAACTCGATGTTGAGTCCTGGAGACCGTGAAGTGCCTAAATGGAAAGAGAGCTGGTGTTTATCCAGCTTGTATTTGGCTTCACTGGAACACTGCAGTATGCGTAGGCCAAAAATGTTGGTGTGAGAGCAAGATTACATATTGAAATGGAACCAGAAGATCAAGGTCATTCTTGAGTCAAAAGCAACGATGTTCTGCAAAATGGTCACACAGTCTGCATTTGGCGTTGGCAGTGTAGAGGAGACTACATTGTGAGCAGCAAGTACAATAGACTAGATTGAATAAAGTGCAAGAAAATTGTTGCTTCAAATGGAATAACTGTTTGGGGCTTTGGACAGTGAAAGAGAGGAGGCAAAGAGTTAAGTGTTATACCTTCTGCCATTTCATGAGTAGGCGCCATGGAGCAGTGAAGAGATGTTAGGAGCGAAGCAGGAATGACCCATAGTTTCCTGTACAGGCAGACATGGCAGCAACGGAGTATGATACTTTCAAATGCAGAGACTGGTGGAATGGAAAATGAGGACAAGGCAGGCCTTTTGCTGCTCTGGGAGGGAGAAGGAGGAGGAAATGGGTTGGACACAGCTAAGAGTCCTGTCAACCACAGTGGTTGTGGAAGGTAGCATCATTGGAACAAATGAGACTGAGTTAGAGAAACAAGGGGAATGGACTGGAAACCGGGTGTGAGGAAGCTTAGTCAAGGTAGCTGTGGGAGTCAGTGAATAGATAGCCTAACTCACGATATCGAAACAGACAAGTCAAGGAGGGAAGACAAGTATGTGAACAGGACCAGGTGAAGGTGAGAGAAGTATGGAAATTGGAAGCAAAATTGAACGTTTCCAACTCACAGCACCAATGCAGTAATCAATGAAAGCAATCTCGTTGGAGGCTCCAAGCAGGACTGGAATTTTCTAAATATCAAAGAGGCAGGCATAACTGGGACAATTAACTCTGTTAGCTGATGATGCCAGACCTGCTGAGTGAATCACAGAATCCCTACAATTCAGAAAGAGGCCATTCAGCCCAACTAACCCTCCAAAGTCTATCCCACTCAAACACCTATCTTATCCCCATAACTCCCGCTTTTACCGTGACTAATCCACATAGCCTGCACATCCCTGGACTCTACGGGGCAAGTTAGCATGGTCAATCCACCTAACCTGTACATCTTTGGACTGTGGGAGGATGCTGGAGCAGCTGGCAGAAACCCACACAGACATGGGGAGAAGATGCAAACTCCATACAGACAGTCACCCGAGGCTAGAATCAAACCTGGGTGCCTGGCACTGAGAGGCAACAGGGCTAACCAATGAGCCAATTGCTGTCCACCAAGGAATTTCTGTTTTTGTTTGTTTCAGATCTCCAGCATTTGCAGTTGTTTTATCATATAACTAGAACCCACATGCGTGCACTTAGTCATTAAAGAAGAAAAACTGAAATGAGTTAAAGGAGAAATTGTTCAAAGTGAGAATGAGTTTGTGATGTCAGTTAAACCGGTTAACAGGTACCAGCTGCCTAATACAAAAGAATTGGAGTCAATACTCCATTTGAGGCCATGTTTTATAAAGCTTCATTATAAATTTTTTGTTTCCGTTCTCTCCCTCTATAAAAGCCTAGGTTCGTGTGTGCTTTTGTAACCACACTCTCCACTCCATTTTAACAGCATAAATACTCCTAGTTCCCCCTATTCCTTCCCCTCTACTTTTTCAAATATATTTTCGGCATTAAATGGTATCTGAAAAGTGTCTGCCTATTTTAAATGATACGTTTCTGCACAATGAGGGTTGGGTCAGTGAAGGAGAAATGAAAAACAGAGACGCTTTTTGTTTAAAAAAAAGGTACAGACGCGAAATAAATAAGCAAACTTGAGAAACCTATAGCTTGCTTGGAAATGTCTGTCTGACCAGGAGTTCAGGCAGCCTTTAAGTAAAAGTCACCGATGCTACACGGGATCAATTCATCGCTGCACCTATTGTACAACAGCATAATACATCCCTGAAGTGAAACTCTGGCGACGATACTCTCACGGCAAAACCACAATAGAGGGAGAGGAAAAAAAAAACAAAATCCAAGTTTTGTTGGTGTGGCCTAAACCTGATCTTTCATTTTCTTCTCCTCTTCTTGGCTAGTGGTGGCAAACTCCTAATTGCGCCGAAATCCCGAATCCTCGCAAGGGCTGACGGGGGTTGTAGTCCGCGGGTCCGATCGGAAACTACGGTTCCCGGCGCCCCCGGGTCTCGGTGCATGCGCACAGCCGTCGAAGACACTGCCAGTTTCTGAGGGGTTGATGCCGGGAAGTGAGTGAGTTCAGGGGTGAGTGAAGAGGGGAGGGCGTTAATATACTTTGTGTAAGCTCTGGTCCAGTAAACAAATTATCCAGGTGTACGTGGCGGTGTAAAACAGAAAATGGGCTCTCTGTATGAGCTGTTATCCCCAGCCCTAAGTCAAGTATGTCAGCCTGAGTCCTGAAATTGCCCTTGTCCACCAGGAACACGAAAAGGTAGCTAAGCCCCTCCAGAGGGTCATCTTCCAACATTAAACTGGCATTGTTTTAAGAGAGCAAGTGTCCCATGCTGACGTTTTATATTTTGCTTAAAGTCAGGTCCCAATGTACTTCCTCCCCCTCATTTAAAAAGTACCAGTTACTATCCAACCGATTTTCAGCTTTCTTCCCCCATGCATGTAGACAGAACCCCATTTCCCCCCACCATCGGATTGCAGTCCTGCAGCCTACCTGCCGATATCTTCTCCCAGGTTACTGTCAAGGTAGATTGAGTCAGTTTGTGCCCTTTTCAGGAGGGCAGAAGGTTCATTCCACATGCGTACACTCTGGTCTGCCAGAGGTTGTGGCTGGCCGGAAATGTCATGGTTGATTACATTGCTCTTTGTTATGCCTCCACTGCTGCCTTGCCTGCAATGAGCTAACCGGGCAAGTTTGTGCATTCCCCCTAAGTCACCAGTGAACCCTTGCAGCAAGGGCTTTGCAAAGAACTCAGTATCAGTTAAACTTGGGGACCATTCCTATATTTTATAAACAGTATGATTAATTTCCATCCTTGTTTTCAAATCCATGCATGGTCTTGCCCGCCCTCTTTCTCTATTCTCCATTTGTGGTGTTACAGGGGCTCAGTGGTTAGCACTATTGCCAGCGACCAAGGTTTGATTCCACTCCAGGATAACTGTCTGTGTGGAGTTCACCCATTCTCCCCGTATCTGTGTGGGTTTTCTCCCACAGTCCAGAACTGTGCAGGCTATGTAGATTAGCCATGGGAAATGCAGGGTCACAGGAATAGGGTGGGATGCTCTATGGAGAGCCAGTGTAGAATTGATGGGCTGAATGGCCTGCTTCCACACTCTAGGGATTCTGTGATTTCCACAGCCCTCCAATTATCTGCACTCGTTTAATTTCAGCACCTTTTGCATTCCCAGTTATAATGTATCCACTATTTGTGGCTGGACCTGTAGTTGCCTACATCCCAGGCTCTGAAATACTCTTCTGAAACATGGCAATCTCTTTTGCTTTCTTCCTTTACAAAAATTCTTAAAAGCTAACTCTTTGACAAAGCCTTTGGTCAGCTGATCTATTATCACCTTATGTGGCAGGTGTAATGCTTTGTTTTATACAGCTTCTGTGAAGTACATCGGGGAGTTTCATTACAGGCACTATGTAAATATAAGTTATTAATTTAATTTTTTCAGTTTTTCTATTATATTTGCAGATGAGCAGAACCAAAAATGATGAAGAAGATTATTGGAACAGTACAAAATGTAAAGCTTTTGTATTTGATGATGATGATGAATTTACAGAGGTGAGTAAATTGCCTGGATTTAAATTTGCAGATTTAAAGGTATTCTGACATTGCTTACAATCCTCTTTTTCTCAGTGAGGGCATGATTCATGTCATATCTTCTCCTATCCTTGGGACATTCCAAACTTCTTACAATCATCAGAGTTATCTCTGTAGACAACTAGAATACCATCCGATGTGTAGCAGGATCCCACAATGAGATTATGCGCTCTGGTTCGAGATACTCCCATGAGGGGAAACATCCTCTCAGCATTTCCTTGTAAAGACCCTTAAGAATCCTGTATGCTTCAATGAGATCACCTCTCATTCTTTTAAACTCCAGTGAGTCGAGTCCCAATTTGTGAGCCTTTGCTGATAAGACAGTTCCCCCATATTGGGGGTCATCCTCCTGAACCTTCTCTGAAGTGCTTCTAATGAAATGATATCTTTTCTTAAAAAGGGAACCAAAACTGCTCACAGTACTCTAGATGTGTTCTGACAACACTGTGCAGTTGCAGCACGACTTTCTACACTTATACTCCAACCTCCTTGAAATAAGGACCAACATTCCATTTGCCTTCCTGATTACCTGCTGCACCTGTGTCCTAGCTTTCTGTGTTTTATGCACATGTACCCCTAAGACCCTTTGTGTTGCAGATTTCTGCAGTTTGTCTCCATTTAAATAATATTCAGTTTTTTTGTTCTCCCTTCCAAAATGAACAACTTTGCGTTTTCTCTTTACTCCATTTGCTAACTTTTTGCTCACTTACTTAACCCATCAATATTTGTCTGTAAGTTGTTTCTATCCCTTTCACAATCTGCTTTTCCACCAATTTTAGTGTTATCTGCAAATTAGGCTATAGTACGTTTGCTTCATTTCTCCAAGACATTAATATGTATTGTAAACAGTTGCGATCCCTGTATTGATCCTGTGGAGCCCCACTAGTCACAGGTTTCCAGACTGAAAAAGAACCCGTTATCTGCACTGGCTGTTTCCTGCCAGTGAGCCAATTCTCTATCCATGCCAATATACTACACCGTGATCTCTGTTAGTCCGTGCACGTATATATAAAGGTAAAATTGTCATAGACCAACCAGACAATAGGGCTACCGTCATTATAGAGGGAGAGACAACTGATGGTGGTTTAACCTGAGGGTCACCACGCCTCGGGCAATCGGAAAGGTTGAGAAGGAGAGCCCTTCACGGTAACCTCAGCCACTGCAGGAATTGACACTATGCTGTTGATGTCACCGTGCATTGGAAACCAGCATTCAGTGACCACATGACATTTCAATGTGTCTGCTCTCATGCAATCTGACTCACCAACTCATAAACAGCTTTTAATCTTGTGTGACAGTTCGCATATTTGTGTTGTCACTTTAGCTGAAAGAGTCCAAGCGAGCAGTTAACAGTCTCCCTGGTATTGTGGACGATGACGATGATGATGTGGAGAAGGTTAGCTGGAGCGGGGAGCCTGTGGGAAGTAAGTATTGGCGGTCACACCCACTTCACTACCAACCAAAACCTTGTTCTCTCATTCTCCCACTAACTGTCAATATCTGCACTTTCTCCCCTGACTTTTGTTCACTGTCTCTCACACCTTGCAACTCTCTTCCCCGCTCCACAATTGTCTTATCTCTCTCCCAGTTCTCTCATCGTTTCCACCCCCAAATTTCTTAGCTCTCCCCCCTTCAACTCTCTTGTCCTGTCCCCCACCCCCAACTCTCTTGTCTTGCGCTCACCCCACCCACTCTCACAACTGTCCCCACACCCCCGCCTCATCTTTCCCAGCTCCAGCCTCTATTGTCGCTCTCTCCTCTCTTTCGTTTCCCCTCCATACACTCATCTCCCTCCCCCCACTCTCATCTCTTCCTCCCTCCGTCTCTCGCACCCACTTGTCTCTCATCTCTCCCTCCCAACTCTCTCGTCTCTCCGTCGCAACTCTAATCACTCCTCTTACTTTGAAGTGTGTGCATAAATATATTTTCCAAAATTCTCTAGGTTTTAAAACTGATCCAATGGATTGAAAGTTAAAATTGCTATTCAGCACTCTCAGTAAGGGGATGTCATGTCCGACTAACTAGATTGAATTTTTAGAAGAGATGACCAGGTGTGTAGATGAGGACAATGATTTTGATGTAGTCTCCTTGGACTTTGATGTTATTTGCAGTTCTGGAATCCAAATTATAGGAGGGATGTGATAGCGCTGGAGAGAGTGCAGAGGAGATTTACCAGGATGCTGCCTGGACTAGAGATTTTCAGTTGTGAAGAGAGATTAGACAGGCTGGGGTTGTTTAAGAGCAGAGAGGGGATATCGTTGAGATATATAAAATTATGAGGGGCATAGATAGGGGAGACAGGAAGGAATGTTTCCCCTTGATGGAGGGATCAATAACCAGGGGCGTAGCTATAAGGTAAGAGGCTTAGAAGAGGTGGGAGGAAAATCTTTTTTTTTTATCCAGAAGCTGGTGGGAATCTGGAACTCACTATCTGTAAGGATGGTAGAGGCAGAAACCCTCATAATGTTTAAGAAATATTTCGATGTGCACTTGTGATGCCAAGGCGCAGAAGGCCATGGCGCAAGTGCTGGAAAATGGGATTAGACCATTTTTAACTGACACAGACGCATTGGGCTGACAGACCTTTCCCAGTGCTGTAGATGTGTGTGACTCTTTTAAAAAAAAAATGCAGGGAAAGAGCAAACAAGCTGGCCTGCTTTCAGTCATCAGGAAAATGTTGAAACTTATTTTAAAGAATTTTTAAACATGTACATAATTTTGCTCCAGTTTGTGGGAGGAGCAAATGTGTTTGCCAAATTTTGAGAGATTGTTTTTGTTTTTGAGAATTTTATGACTAGAGTAGATGAAAGCAAATCAGTAGGTGTGGTATTTATTTTTATTTTCTAATGTGTGTTCAGAGAGATGTTAGTACTTGAACCTGGGCACACATGGCTTTCTGATACACGTTTGATAAGGCACCATATGACCAATTAATATAGTAAAATATGGAGGCTTGGAGTGAGGGGTAGTATTTTAGCTCAGACAGGAAGGAGAGAGTAAAATTTAAGCAGGATACTTTCAAACTGACGGGTACCAACAAGTGTTGGGGCCTGACTTGGATGAACAAATTAAGAGTACAGATACAGAGTCCCCAAACCAGAAACTTTGGGACCAACTACATGCTAGCTTTTGTAACCCAACGGATTTTGAGCCAGACAGAGTCAGTTTAGAGAGGCCAGGGATCACCCTGCTGCGGGAAAAGATTGGCGTATAAAGCTGATAACTTGTCAGTGCCAGTGCAATATTGAGCTGAACAAGGTGGTCAGTTGTTTTACTCATTTAATAAGAATTAACCTTTATGGCACTTGACAAAAATGTCTAGCTTTCA